TTGGGCAGATGGTTCAGCTTCTCTGAGCCTCAGCTTCCCCCTCTGCAGGACGGGGCCATTGAATTGCCCCTGCTTGTGAAGTACTTCCAAGGGCCTGGCCCAGAGGAGCACTGAGGACGAGCTGACCTGTCTCTCCCCACAGGGTCTCCTCTGGGGTCTACGAGCCAGTCGTGATTGAAAGCCATTGAGGAGCGAGTGTCCAGGCTGGAGAAGGGCCCTGCCTTCGTGGGTGTCCAGACCCACGTCATTCCACGAGGGACCTTCCCCTTTGGATCACCATCCACGCGACGTCTCATCTGTGCCTCCTCCATGCACTCCAGCCCCACTCCTGCCTCAAAGCATCATTCCATTGTCCTCCCATCCAGGCCGGGACCCTGCTGGCCCGGTAGGGCCTGGGCACCACTGTGAATATTCTCTGAACCACTAAAGGGCAGGACACGCAGGCCAATGAAGTAGGTGGGCAAGACAAAGATGGCCAGGATGCCCCGCCGGAGACCGACCTGTCCCCTTGATGAGGACATGCAGCAGCTCCTACACACATGGGGCTGCTTGTGGCCGAGGGGCCTCTCGCCCTATGTCCCTGCTCACTCTAAGAGCACCAGCTCAGCCATGTCCTGGCAGGGCTTTGTTCCATTGCCCCCTTGCCCTGGTGGGGTGGGGGGGAGGCACTTCATCCCCAGAGTCCTGCCACCGTGGCCCTCTGACTGCTTAGTGCTTCAGCTATCCCTTCCCTGTACCCTGGGGGACCCGCTGGCGGCCTCCTCCTGGAAGCCAAGACCTCAGACCCGACCCACACTCTAGATTGAGACCCCCCTCCCCCAATGAATGTTCTCCTGCTGCCCTGGCAGCCTGCACTTTGCACATGCTTGTCTCCAGCACAGCCCCACTGGCCCTCGCCTGCCCTTCCTCTGATCCCTTTCCAAGGATTCCTGGGTGCTACCTGCTGTGCAGTCAGTGGCCCAGCTCTAGCAGCCCGGCTGGAACGGGGCACTGCCTCTCCTCCCTCCAGTTAGCTCCAGCTCAGGCCTGAGAGCCTGCTGAGAAAAGTCTGAGCTTCAATTTTTGGCTCCCCTCTGCCCGGGGCTGGGTCTTGAGCAGCTGGTTTCCTGTAGGAAGCCTGGAAGGTGCCTCCCCAGCCCACGGAGGTTGGGGGCCTGATGGGCTGGGCAAGCAACTGCCCATTTTCTCTCCCCTCAGGGTCAGCTGGCCCTGGCTTGGGACCAGTGCTAGAGGGGCAGGTGGGCTGTGACTGGACTGGCTGGAGCTGGCTTCCTGGCCAGAAAAGCCTCAGCCCTCTGAAAGCACCCCTCTCTTTGGGCAAGGGAGAGGCAGGCCCTTTAAGGGGGGTTTTCCAGCAGGGGGCAGTCCGGCTCTGCCTCTGTCCCTTGTTAAAGCCTCTGCTCTGAGCACTTTCCTCCCTGTCCCCGTTACTTGCTTGAAGGTGGGTTCTGGCTGGCAGCCAGCCCCTGGATAGATTCCCCTGCCACTCGTAATTTCACTCATTTTTGTATAAACCCAGCAGGCTGGTGTTTACTTAGCCCTATACTTTTTTTTTTCCTTTCCTCTTTTTTTTTTTTCCTTCTTTCCTTTTTTTTTTAGGGTTCACAGTTTGATATTCTCTCCTCCCCCAGGTGAGGGGAGGTGGTTCCGTTCTCTGCCCTACCTGCTGGCTGGGTCCCAGCAGGGCTGGGGATCTGGACGGAGAGCCAGGATATGGGTTCTCTCTCTGGTAGGGGTTGGGGTGGAGGTTCTCTCCCCAGGCTGGGAGGGGTCCTTCCCCTTCTGCCCAGCTGGCAAGAGTGAGTCATGGTCTTGGAGCCTCCTGGCATTGGGGCCAGAGCATTTCTAGGATTTTGTGGTTGTCGTTATTGTTTTTAATCACCTAACTCTTTTAGAAAATGAATGTTAGAAGGTGCCTGCCGAGGCAGGATGGAGCATTTGCTCTGGCTGGAGAAGACTCTGGTCAACTCTGTGGGTCCCTTCCTGTCCTGTAAGACACCTGGCACTTTAAAAGGGCCTGGCTGCACGATCTCCAGATGAAGTGACCCCCAGAAGATGGGGAGTGCCGCCCTTCGCTCTGTCTGTATGACCTCAGCCCAGTGGGAAGGTGCAGTCAAGGTGTATTTGGGGTCCGATTCAAAGTTCTGGGGCTTTAGGCATAAAGCAGCTGGCTTTGGTGCTGTTGGGGAGACTCTCCCAAACCAGGAACCCCAGCCCCACTCTAGGCGAGGTCTGAACTTGATAGTCACCCCAGAAGGAGACAGAGCCTGCCACATTTTCCCACGCCAGGCCCTGGGCCAGGGTAATTGGACTAACTGAAAATTCGGCCACAACCAAATTGATGGTGGCTGGAGCTGGAGTCCTGGAGCTCCGACCTCATCCCCATGTGGGACCCCTTTCTCCAGCCCTCCGGTCCCCTCAAGCTCAGTGAATTCGCACTAGGCACCCACAGCTCCTGGACTTAAAAATTCTATATATAGAGATAGAATATATTAGAGATATTTTTGGAAAGGAATCGGTCTATGCAATGACGGTTTGGAATCTTCTTGGAAGACAGTTTTAACATTTTTACTAGGAGATTTAAAGAAAATAAATACAATATTTTTAGGTTATTTTTTTTTCTAGTCACCCCACAAACTGACCACAGGGCATGATCTGCCAGGATGTCGAATGTCCACGTTTTCCTCTGTTTAGGGAGGTGAGCAGGGAGATGGGGGGAAGCAAGGTTTTTTTTGTTTTGTTTTTAATTCCCCTCTTATCTAACAGAATGTCACCACCACCACACCCTAATTCAATGGGCTGTGTTTGTATCTGTCCCAGCTTCTGTTGTAGAAAATAACATTGTAAAGGGAAATCAGCCTAGTCAGTGTCTTGGTTTGGGGAAAAAAATTAAATGTTGCAGTTTTTGTTATGGCATATTGGTTCTTGTTTGCTTGTTTTACCAACTTGACTTTGGGATCAAAGCATCAGATGGAAACCAGATGTGTAAGGTGACACCCTGGGGATGGGAAAGATGTAGGTGGCCAGGGTTCTCCAAGTCCTGGTGCAGTCACAATTGTTACCACCTTTACTACATCAGAGTCCCAGAGAGGAAACAGGAGAGTACTTTCCCTGCCAGTCTCAGACCTCAGAGCCCAAGCCCTAGCCACTAGCCACTGCTCTGCGGACCTCCCCGGTAGTCAGGTGGCTTCTAACAAGCATGCCTGAAGGCAGAAAACTGCCTATGCTTCAGTTTTCTCAGCTGCAAATGGGACTGTGGATCAAATGAAAAAGTGGGTGTACAGCCTGACCTATGGGAGGTGCTGAGCTTATACCCATCCTCAAAAGCTCCAGACCTGCATTGTCTCCAGGCCTGGGCCCCTCAGCCCAGGCCCTGTCTCAAGTTACAGAGCTGTGGGGACGGCAAGTCGCCGCGGCCTTTAACGAGCTCAGAAGTGGCAGGAAACCTCAGCAGCTTTGGACAGGCCAGAAGGGATCAGACTACTCAGCCTCATCCCCGTCACAGCACTGCATTATTCTCAGTCCCTTCCTTTGTTCAGTGCACACCTGGGGAGGGAAAAGTTGATTCCCAACTGAGCCCAAATCTCCTGAGACCGGGAGGGAAAGAATTGGGCTTTAGGCTCAAAAAGGCTGCTTCTTTGGAACACAGTAATGCTAAGTGAAAAATCAGTATACCAAAGGGTAGGGGATAAAAAGGTTGCTCCAGCAGTCCCCTTAGTCAGAAATGGGTTCAGATGACCCAAACAGGCAGATGCTGCGAGCGAGTGAACCATGCCAGATTCAATCTCCACGTGCCCCTTCACCCCCCAAAATGTAGACAGCAGGAGAGCCTCCACACAACCCTTCAGAAGGCCTGAAGTCCCCAGATGCTGAACTCTAGCATTCCAGGATCTAAAATGTCACTGAATCTTAAAGCCAGTTGGTTGATTCAAAGCTCCTACTTCGTGCCAAGCCCCATTCTGGGCGTTGGGGGTACAGCAGTGACCACAGACCCGAGTCTCAGAGACCTCACAGGTGGGCCACATCAAGTAAATCAGCTAATTAAAACATGCTGACAAGCGTCATCATGGAGACACCCTTGGGGCTATGGAACACACGGGAGGGAACCCCTGTCAGGGAAGGTGACTTCCCTGGGACATGTAGTCTTGATGAGTGAGGAGCAGCTGGCCCACGAGCTGTGGGAATACAGTGTTCCCGATTCCAGAGCTGGAGAACACATCAAAGATCATGCCCAACCTCCCCCTGGCTCTCAGAGGAACGGACCTCCTATCCTGGAGAGGATCCTGCACACGCGGCCATTCCCAAGACCTGCGTGGGTTGCTGCCTGCGCTGCTGCGACACCCAGGGCCCCAGAGGCAGACGGTGAAGGGAGGGAGGGTCAGTCACCCTGGTCTCATCACTACAGTGAAGAGATTACAGGGAAGCCATGCGATGGTAAGGGGGCGCCCCGGGGCGCCCCCCCCCTTGCAGCGGATCAAAATTAGCCCCATCTCAGCAGGCTCGGGCTAGCCCCTCGGCCTCCCACCCGGCGCCGGGCAGTGAACATTTTTTTGGAAGGCAGCTATGCTCACCACTATACCACCAACGCAAGCAAACATTTTTTTGCACCCTCCCTTCAACACACACGTTAGGGCCACGGGACCAGGAAATAACTGGCATGAACACCCCAGGTTCTGGTGTCATCTTCACCACAGACACGAATTGTGATCTGCAAGCCCTCGCCCCTCTCTGAGCCTCATTTTCCCCTTCTGAAAAATGAAACTTACAACCCTCCCCCACCCGATCTCGCTCTGGCTTTGGGACTCTGGGATATTTAGAATGGGCTTTTCTTCAGGGGCGAGTTCGACAGGACTGAGGCCACGAGCACCAGCCAGTCTAGGTTCCCAAGTCGGTCCCATTCCTTACGAAGATTCGTGAACAACTTGTTCCACAATACCCTTAAGAAACTACATTTCCCGACATGCAAACGGGGAGGCGGTTTCCTGCTTGTCTTGGGCAGCGTAGTCCTGGGGCGGCCTATGTACTACGACTCCCAGCGTGCCCCGCAGCCGAGAGCCCGGATCCGGAACCGGATGTGATTTGCTGCGCCGGCGAGGATCGCCGGAGAAATGGTGAGTTTTTGGCAGAGTGCAGAGGGTCTGGGGGGGTCCCTGAGGGTCGGGGGGGGGGGGTCCCTGGTTTGTTTAGGAGCCGGAGCTTGGACACTGAGAACCAGATTGCGCTCCCGCCGGCTCATTGTACAGATAAAAACGCCGAGACCGGGCACTGCCAGCGTAATCAGACTGCGACGCCCCCCACTCCATTTGTGCACCTAAATTGAATCACTTAGTCAATTTGAGCCCTCCCTTTTCTCCAGGCCACGGGGACAGACCAGGTGGTGGGACTTGGCCTCGTTGCTGTGAGCCTGATCATCTTCACCTACTACACCACCTGGGTGATTCTCTTGGTATGTGTACTTCCTCCGCCCTCTCACCTCGCATTCCTGGATCTTGCAGCCGACCCCCCCCCCCCCCCCCCATGTCTGTGCTAGGTGCTTTACCTGAATATCTCATGAAATCTCCAGAACAATACTATGAGGAAGATGCCAGTGGTGTCCCCATTTTATAGACGAGGAAGCTGAGGCTCAGGGAGAAGGGTCCAGGCTCAAGGTCACCTTCTTAACCGCTACATTGTAAAGCCCTGTTCCTCATTTGCTTGGCCTTTGATGGGTCCAGTCCTTCTGGTTATTATATTGCTGGCTCCTGGGTATGACAGGTGCCAGTGGATTTTGTGAGGGCCTTTAGGGTTTGTGTGTGGAGCAGGGGTTTATTGGGTACTACTTAAGAAGTGCAGTGTGTTTGGAAGGCAAAGTCTTGCAGAACTTGGTATCGTTTGGAGAAAATGGTTAGTAAAGAAGATCTTGGAGCCCAGGTTGGGAATTAGTTGAGGATTCCTCGTGTACCCTTTGCCTCTGCTAAGCTGTGAGGGTATTAGAGCAAGTCCTTTGTCTTCTGTTTGCTGGTAGGCCCCTAACACCAACTTAGGGTAGGTACTAGTCAGTTGCACAGGAAACAGCTATTAAATAAAGGAAGGAAGGGCCGGCTGAGTGGCTCAGTTGGTTAAGAGCTCGCTCAAGAGTTTGAGCTCTGAGCAACAGCGGTTCGAGTCAGCCCGAGCTGAGCAGCCGTGAGCTGCCAACAGGTGGCGGGATGGCTCAGCTAAAAAAATAAATAAATAAATAAAAATAATAAAAATAAAGGAAGGAAACAAACCAAGGCACCCCAAGTACGACCATCTTAAACAAAAGCAAATGCTGTCCCAGTGCTTTAAGAGGGGTCAACCCCTGAGACAGAGGAAGTGGGATATTGGCTTGGGGGGGGCTGGGCAAGGCAGGGAATGCTCACCAGAGCTCTGCCCTCGATGCCAGCCATTCATCGACAGCCAGCATGTCATCCACAAGTACTTCCTGCCCCGAGCCTATGCTGTTGCCATCCCACTGGCCGCTGGCCTCCTGCTGCTCCTGTTTGTAGGTAAGTCGTCATTCCCCCAGCCCTGGGCAGGGTGTCTGGGGGGCCCCATGACCCTCTCCCACCCCTCAACATGTGGCCACACTTTGGCACTTGCTGTACGTCTGTTTGAGGCTCTTTGCCCCCAGTTCAGCCCCAGGGTTTTCCCGTTCATCCTTCAGGGCTGCAAGTCAGTCTTCCGATGCTTCAGGCTCTAATGGGATGTGTCCCTTTTTCCTGCTTCCTCCACCATCCTTGCCCTGCTCACACCTCAATCACCTCTCACCCCCGTGTCACCCTGGCTCATGGTTCCTGCACCTCTCCATCTCCCATGATTTAGTGTGTGGTCTTCCCAGAACTGTGTCTTTATCATTACTGTGTCCTCAGCTCCTGCACAGGCTGTGGCACTAAGTTGGTGCTCAAGAAAGTGGTTTGGATGAGTCAGCAATCAGATGGCTGGATGATGGAGTCGGTGGGTGGATGCTGGATGTTGAGTGGGCGGGTGAGTGGGTAGGTAGGTGGACAGGTGGTTGACTGGGTGAGTAGATGGATAGCTGGGTGGAACTTGCCCCCCATAGAATATGAAATACTAAATTGCCTGTGGCAGGCACTCAGTGGTGTTTGTTGAATGAATGTGGGTGGATGTGTGGCTTGATGGATGGCTAGGGAGATGACCAGGTGGTCTAGAGGGTGGTTGGGAGATGCTTGGTCCCGTGTATGCGTCATTGTGCCATGCCGTGCCCTGCTCTGGCCTTAACAGCAGCCCTGAGCCCCGATCTTACGTGGTCTTTCTGTCTCTGTATTCCAGGAGTGTTCATCACCTATGTAATGCTGAAGAACCAGGTGACCAAAAAGGCTCAGTGAAGGCCCAGTGGGGATGAGGCTGCTGGCCCCTTCTCTGCCTCCCCTCTAGGGTACACCAAGGGCAGGGGCCCACAGGACCTGTCCAGGCTGCTCTGCAGACACCCTGGAGGATGGAGCTGTTCAGAACTCACCCCTGACTGACAAGAGCGCCCAATCCCCTGCTCACCCTTTCCAGAAGTTAGGGGGAGGAGTACCTGACGTCTCCTCTCCTCCTTCTGGTCAGGGCCTGAAAGATGGTGGTCCTTTCCTGCCTTACCTGCAGATTCTCATTTTTTTCCCTTTGGGTTCTACCCTTTTGCCTCAGTTTGCCTCCTGTTGCATGCTGATGTTGGATTTGGCAGGTTCTAAGACATCACATGACCTCTCCCCACATGTCCTCCACCAAGGCAGCTTCCCTGGGTCTGACATAGCCCCAGATCCCACAGGACTTCTGGACCTGGAAATCCTAGCGGGAGGACAGACAGGCCGCAGGACTACCCCAGGCCTCAGAACACATTAGGGTGGCCACACAGGGCCCTCAGATCTGCCGCTCCTCATGGAGGCCCAGCCCTTCAGCCCTGACACTGGCCTTGGCCTGTTGGGGAAAACTGAACAATAAAGGTTGTTGGTGTGTTTGTTTCTGTGCCATCCCTGATCAGGGGAGCTGGGCTGCCTGGGGTCTGAAGAGGGGCTAGGTGCTGGCCTCTGCATTGGTCTCGGGTCAGGAGACACTGGTTTGTGCAATGAGGTGCCTCCTGGATCATCCCTGTGCTGGACACAGGATAAAGCAGGGCCTGGAACAGATGTGGTTGCAGCTTGTTGCAGCTGACGGCTGGGGAGTCAGTGGAGGCATGGCAGTCTGCCAGACCCCACATCAGCCTCCACCACGCCCCCCCTGTGCCAGCCCAGCCAGCATGCACTAGTATTTTAGGGACCCTCAGCCCAGTTCCCTAAAAGCCCAAGTCTGTCTTCGTACCAGCAGCTGAACTTAGTGTAGCTCTGAGCAGTGAGGGCTGCTACTGAGCCAGAGCAAAGTTGGTTCCACTGTGTCCAGGTTGACTGATCTGGCACAGGCCCCAGCCCTAGCCCCCCTGCAATTATTCCTCTGAGCAGCCCGCTCTCCCATTCACAGTGCCTAGCATAAGCCACCATCCCATTACATCTTGGACGTTCACTCTTCTTCCAATTAGTGGAGGTGTCACCCTCAGAGAACAGAGGCCACCTGCCCTGTCCTCGCCCCACCCTCTAGTCCAGGCAGAGCTGCCCACCTGGGCTCTGGGTCCTGTCCTCTCCTGTTGTTACAGCAGGAGCTTCTTGTCTCTGATGATCCCCCTTGTGGGAAGAGCCTCTGCTTCTCAACAAGGGCCTCCCAGTGTTTCATGAACATGTTCCAGGCTCCCACTTAAAGGACCCTCCATCAACCCAGTAATTCCCTCCAGGTTTCCCCCCTCACCTCTCCATAGCCAAACTTCCCAAAGGATGTTCACATCTGCTGCCTACATTTTCTCACCTCCACTGTGCTCAGCATCACTCCAGGAGGGCTGCACCCACCCACTCAGACCAACAATAACAAACATCTGGTCTTTAAACCCAAAGCACGTTTCCATGATCCCTACACCACATGTGATGTGTGAAATCCCATGGGATGCACCCTCAGAAGCTCCTGTCTGTGATGACCCACTCTCCACTTTATGTGTCTCATGTTTCTCTGTTCTGCCATGAGAGGGTGGGTTCCTCAGGGTTCAGTCACAGGCTTTCTTGCCCCACACCCTTCCTGGGTGACCTGATCTACCCAGGCTTTCCTCCAGCCTGGCTGTCTCCTAAACCCCCACATGTTTCTTTTTTTTTAAAGATTTTTTTAAAAAAGAATTTTATTGGGGAATTGGGGGAAGGGGAACAGACAAGTTGCTGTCCTTTTGTTCTTCAGTATAGTTGTGGAGGACGTTGCTTCACGGGCCCAAGTTGGCACCATCATTGCGCTCTTCTCAGGCGAGGCAGATCAGTCGTCAGCCACTCACGCTGGTTGCTGGCTACACACGGTAACCCGTGGCAACCCACTGCAGCAGGGGCTGCAGCCTACACCGTCTCCGGTGACTCACGGCAACCCAGCTCCAGGTTGAGCTGTTGTTCAGCATCTTAGCTGTAGAGAGCAGTGTCACTGGCCCTTATATGTGGGATCCGAACTGGGGCCTTCTGGTGTCCCCCCAGCCACCTTCGTGAAGCAAAGCCACCATCCTCTGTCCTAAATCACTAAAGACTTCCTCGCACCTCTCCCCCTGTCCACTCTGGCCATCTCCAATCTGTGACAACCAGTGACCTTTTAAAAACATCTGATCTTTCTCATACACTTACAATGCTTCTCCAGGTCCTCACTCTCCCTGCCATGGCCTACAAGAACCTGTGTACTTGCTCACTCACGCTTTGTCCTACTCACTCCAGCCACCACCCGGCTGCCCATTCATCTGGTACTCACCAGGGCCCTTTGCACACCCTACTCACATTGGTTCAACATATACTTATCCAACACCAGTCTGTGCCAGGAAATGAGACTGGCATGGTTCCTGTCCTCCTGGCACCCCCATTCTAGGGCTGGATGTAATAAATAAATGAACAAGACAATCTCTGACAGTGTTAAGTGTGATGAAGAAAATAAAACACGATGATGTGATCAACAATGAGGGGAGGGAACACTTGCAGTGGTTCTCAAGCTGTGGGTCGTGACCCCCTTTTCCTTTCACAGGGGTCACCTAAGACCATCGGAAAACAAAAAAGTATTTACATTACGATTCATAACAGTAGCAAAATTACAGTTCTAGAGTAACGAAAATAATTTTATGGTTGGGGGTCACCACAACATGAGGAACCGTGTTAAGGGGTCACAGCATTAGGAAGGTTGAGAACCGCTGCCTTAGAGTCAGCCAAGGTGACAAGAAGGAATAAAGCAAATGGAAACGGAAATCTGGGGAAAAGGACGTCAAGCAGAGGGAACAGCACTTGCAAAAGCCCCTAGATGTGAAAGCGTTTTTGGTGCCTAAGGACTAGCGAGGAATCCCTGTGGCTGTGTAATGGGTGGAGCGAGAGTAGTTTGAGATAGGGCTGGAGAGTGGGTAGAAGGGCATGGGCCAAGGCCAGGGGTTTGGATTTTGTTCTAGTGCCATGGGAAGCTCCTGGAGGCTTTAAGCATGAGAGTGACATCACCTCATTTATGCTTTTCAAAGATCACGTTGGCAGCTGTGTGTCTCCCTCTCATTTACCACTAAATCTCCAGCCTAGCACTGCTTCCGGCCCATAGTGAGTGTTAAAATATATGTGTTAAATGAATGCATGCCCCTGACTTTCTGTGTGACCTGGAGGTAGTCACTTGTCTCTCTAGCCCAACGGTTCTCAACCTTCCTAATGCCGCGACCCCTTAATACAGTTCCTCATGTTGTGGTGACCCCCAACCATAAAGTTATTTTCGTTGCTACTCTATAACTGTAATTTTGCTACTGTTATGAATCGTCATGTAAATACCTTTTTGTTTTCCGATGGTCTTAGGCGATCCCTGTGAAAGGGTCGTTCGATCCTCAAAAGTGGTCGCGACCCACAGGTTGAGAACCGCTGCTAGCCCTTAGTTTCTTCACCTGAAAAACAGTCGGTGGGAATTTCATGCCAGAATTTCGAGGTGGGCGGGACTGGATTGGGGAGGGTCTTACCTCCCAGGGACCCTAACCCATGAGTGGCGGCCCTGCCCCGCCCTGGACCTCGGTCGGAATGATGCTGCAGCCGGCGAGGGGGGACCCGCAGGCGATGGCCGGCCACTCCCGCGCGGATTGGGTACAGCCGTTACCGGCACAAAGCGATTGGTCGGTCCAGAGGCAGGGGCGGGGCCTGACTCCTGCAGCCGGGCGACGGGGCAGCGGGGCCGCGGCCAAAGCCCGGGAAGCTGCTGCGGAGGCAATGGCCGCGCCGAGCCCGGGGCCCCGCGAGGTAGGTGCGGACCTGAGAGAGGACAGGAAAGGGAAGGGTGGAGGGGCAGAAGCCGGGTTTCCCCTCTCTGTGCGGTGCGGACACACCCCCATCCACGCCCAGGAGGGGTCCTGCACTGAGCGGGGGACCAGGACACGCCCCACATGGGAACCGCAGGTATGAAAGGATAAGTCTGGTGGGTATCCCCGGAGAACTTCCTCAGTTAATCCATCGGGAAAATGGAGACGATATTAAAAGCTCCTCTTCACAGGGCTGTTAGGAGGTCAGCCTGGGCACATGGTGGGTGCTCACTACTAATAGGTCAGCAGCTCTCATCTCAGCTTCGCGCTGACCTTCCGCACTGGCCTGGAGGAACTCTGCATAGACAGTGTACTAGGTGACTGAATCACTGGCATCACAGCTCCTATCAAGGGCTCCTGTGCACGGAGCTCAAACTCCACAGTAACAAGTTAATACCTGCCACGAAGTTGTTATAGTTCTCATTTTACAGGTGAGAAAACAAGGCACAGAGGGTTAGGTGACTTACCTAAGGTCACACAGCTGGTGAGAGACAGTCAGTCTTGGGCCAGGTTTGGCTGCAGAACTGCATGCTCTACCAACTGCTAATAATAACCATCACTCCGTTTTGGGTGCTGCCTGCATGCCAGGAACTGTGTGGCCCCTCACAGCACCCAGTGAGGTGGGTACCGGCATTATCTGCATTTTACAACTGAGGAAACTGAGGCAGAGAGAGAAAAGAGGAGGGTTCAGAGTAGTGGAGCTAGGACTCACACCTGGGTCTTTCTCCTCTGCGATGCTGCCACATGCTCATTGCTTCTTGTGCCTCCTGCCACCAGGTCCTGGCCCCATCCCCAGAGGCTGGACACAGAGTAGCTACTTCAAGTTCTGGACATTGTGGCCTTCTCCGGTGTCTACGAGACAAGCAGCCGTGCCCAGGCCTGTTTGAGATTGGCCCAGGGCATGAGCTGCACCAGCTGACATGTATGATGCAGACAGGACTGTGGGCTGCCACTCAGGTCTCTATAGACCACCCGCTCATGGTGAGTGGTCAATCTGTCCCACACACCAATGGCAATCAGAGATGGCTATAAGGGGAGGAAATCAGGGGCTTGGTGCGGGGAGGGAGGGACATTCTGGAGTGGAGGCTGAGGCCAGGAAGTCAGAAAGCCCAGGATGTGTTGGGGGTGTGAGGAACCTCCTGACCTAGCTGGTTGCTGTGTGACTCTAGATGGGCCTCTGCCTCTCTTTGGGCCTCAGTGTACCCATCTATATAGTGACTATGGGGGGTGGGAGTTGTACTCCTTGGTCTCTGAGGCCCTCTCAGCTCTGCCAGGGTGTATGGTTGAGAAGGGACCCTACCCCCACCCCACCAGCCCAGTCCATCCTCCCCGGAGCTCAGGCTGGGGCCAGGCTGGCTCAGCAGAAAGGGCCACCCAAATGCAAGCTCAGCAGCTGGATGGGCCCCAGTGAGCATATGTGTTTTTTTTGTGTGTGTGCACCTGTGTGCACAGCGTAACCACACCCCACAGGCCAAACCCTGGCATAGGGACCTAGAGGTCCAGGGAGAGTGGAGGAACCAGAAGAAGTCCTCTAAATCTCATTACCTGCTGAAAATCGCAACCTGACCTTATCACCTCCTGAAAATCTTCCATGGCTCCCTAGTACTCATCATGGCCTCAGGATCCTGCTGGTTTAAGCCCAAGGGTCGACTGTCCAGCCTTGTTCACACTCCATCCCTCCCGTACTTCAGCCACTCTGGCCCTCTTTTCCGTCCTGGTGGCCACCAGTGCTGTTCCCATTGCTGTGAGCACCCTGCTCCTCCTCTCCACTACCCTTCAGATTTCAGCTTATGGGTCACCTCCCCCAGGAAGCCTTCTCTGATCCTGCCCCTCCCAGGATGAGTCAGGCAGGCCCCTTGGCAGTAAGGCCATCTCCTTTTACTGGGATGGCATCCGGCTTCACTTGTCCAATGTGTGTGTCTAGGCAAATGCGCCAGGCTTTAACTCAGAGACAGGTGCTGGGGACCCAACTGTGGAGGAGACATACTCAGGACCTGCCTCCGGTCACTCTCTCATCCTCCATACAGTTTTGGGAGAGTCTGCCGCTCCCATCTACCCAAATCAGGCACACCCAGGGCAGTCTCTGTTTGCTGGAGGAATCAGATTGGGAGAAGGGGATGAGGTCAGGTGCTGGATGCTTGGAGATCCTGGGGCTGGCAGTTGGGGGCTGAGACTTGCTCTGAGCCCCTCTGCCCCTCCCTGCAGGGACCGCCCACTGAGGAGGATTTCTCTGAGGTCATGACCCAAGTTCAGGAGGTAGGAAGCCCCAGACTGCTTCATGGGAGGGGGCCTGTACCATCTTTGTTCTCTCTTCTCCTCAGTTTCCCGTGGGTGCAGTGGGAGTCATGGCTTGCCTCAGGGCCTTCAGGAAGGATGTGGTTACCTTGACTCTCCTGCACTAGGGCCAACTGCTCACACCTGGGCCTCCGTGGACACTCTTGGGGGCGCTCTTCCTCCCCTGCAGGGCTTTGAGCTGGGCACCCTGGCTGGCCCAGCCTTCGTCTGGCTGCGTCACTCCCTAGGCCTGGCTGAGAAGGACTATCAGGCCTCATTGGGGCCCGGCGTCCCCTACCTGCAGTTCCACAGCACCTCCAAGAGCAAGGCCAGCTTCTTCCTGTCGTGAGCTGGCAGCAGGGGTGGGGAAGGGTGGGAGTGGTGTCCCGGGAAAGGGAAACATTTGGGGAGAGAACTAGTATGGCCAGGTCAGAGGAGGGTCCCAGCCAGATAGAGGTCAGATGGAGGACAGACTGATAGTGAGGGCCGGAGGCCTTGAGCCTGTATGGAGGCGGGGTGGGGAGCGGGAGACAGATCCACACATGGACAGGCTGGATCAGCGAGCCTTGTGGGAGCCTCTCCAGTCCCACCTAGTTAGTGACCTCTCCCTTCGGCTCCCCCAGCCAGGACCAGCGCTTCTTCCTGAAGACCCAGAGGCGTAGGGAGGTACAGGCCTTGCTCACCCACCTGCCCCGCTACATGCAGCACCTGCAGCGTCACCCGCACTCGCTGCTTGCGCGGTTGCTGGGTACGACCACCAGCCAGGAATGCGGGACTTCGGGGCGTGGGGGAAGGGGTTAAGGAGAGAGCGAAGAGGAGAGGGGGCCAGGGAGCGGGGCGGTTCCAGGAAGCGGGGTGTGGGGGGCCTGAACCCAGACAGGACTGCGGGCAGAGCTCGGTGCACCGCTGGTCCTAGATGGCAGTGTATGGGACCGCGTGGTCGGTGGGCAAGGCCCAAAGGGGTGGGGTTGAGAGTGGACAGTCCTGGGGGAGGGTATGTGGGCGGGGCTATGCCCGAGGACACCGCCCTTTTGGGGCTGAGTCTAGAGGCAGGTAGAGTCAGGACACCAACCCAAGCTGAGGAAGGGTCTGGGGACAAGGCTGGAGGGGCGGGGCAGACTCGGGATGCGGAGGAACTCGAGGAGGAGGCGTGGCCTGGAGCTGGGACTGGGGTGGGGAGGACTCCTGGTTGCCTAGTTTGGGGCCCCTCACCTGGCGCCCTCTCCCCTTCCAGGAGTGCACAGTCTGCGGGTGGCTCGGGGCAAAAAGGTGGGTGAGGCCGAGGCGACGAGGCCGGGCCGGAGGGGTCGTCTGCAGGATGAGATCCTGTTCTCCCTCACTCCCTACCCCCTGTACGCAGAAATACTTCATCATCATGCAGAGCGTCTTCTATCCCGCCGGCCGCATCTCTGAGAGGTGAGTTGGCCTCGCAGGGCCTCGGGCCCACCCAGAATGTGCCACCGGAAGCACCCAGAGTCAATAGACGGACGGCGAAGCTGAGGCCCAGGGAAGAGAAGGGACTTTCCCAGGATCTTCTGATGGGTCAGAAGCGGCCACACCCAAGACCAGCATCTCTTGAACACTCAGTATGCATTGGGCGTTGTGTCCAGCCATTTGCATTCATAATCTTCTTTATTCCTATAACAACCCTGAGGAGTAGGCATTGTTATCACTTCCATATCATAGATGAGAAACTGAAGAGGGGGTAGTCTGCGCAGGTACTATGTGAGGAGTAAGAGTTCAAGCCCAGCCTTTGACAACATTGCCCTCAGCGCCTCCCAGCCCTGCCTCTGCCCTCATTGGTGCTCCTCCAGGGCCACCGACTTCCCTCTGGCCCTCCTGGTGCTACTGCCTCGGGCTGGACCCCTGTGTCTGGGACACCCCCAGGGATGACAGTGTGCTGAGCATCAGGCACAGGAGGGCGTAAAACCTGGACTGGGCTTCCAAAGACCTGAGTTCAAATCCCTGCTCCTCCCTTTACTTACTGCTTGTTCTTGGGCAAGTCAAAGAAATTGAGCCTTTTTCTTCATCTCCTAACATGGGGACAATAACAGAATGGGGTTGTGCTGATGATTTGATCCGTCACACAGTGAAAACTCTTGTGTCTTATTATTAACTTGTGAAGGTCCCTGTGTGTCTGAAGTCTGTGTAAAGCTGAATTCTGTTGTGTCCTCCCACCCCTTGTCTCCCAGGTATGACATCAAAGGCTGTGAGGTGAGCCGATGGGTGGATCCGGCCCCTGAGGGCAGCCCCCTCATCCTGGTGCTGAAGGACCTCAACTTTCAGGGCAAGACCATCTACCTAGGTAAGCCATGGGGCAGTGACTGTCTGCTCTTCCTCCATTCAGGGTGAAGTTAGAAGGGTGTCCCTGGCACTGCCCTCTGCCCAAGTCATTAAGAACCCGGATTCGGGAGTCAGGCAGAGCAGGGTTCAAATCCTGGTTCCACAACTTACTAGCTAGGTGACCAAGGTAAATTACAGATGAGTTTCCTCATCTGTGAAATGGGACAATAAGGACACTCCTGGGGCAGATGCGTGTGGAGCCCTCAACACCTTGCCTGGCACACAACGAGCACTGAGGCGGGGTGCTGATGTTCTAGCAGGGCCCCAGAGAAGCTGGCTCCTCCGCCAGATGGAACTGGACACCGCCTTCCTCCGGGAGCTCAATGTGCTGGATTACAGCCTCCTGGTGGCCTTCCAGTGTCTCCACAAGGATGAGAGGAGCCCGGGCAGCAGCCTTGTCTTCCGCACAGCCGGGTAAGCCTCCCACAGGAGCAACGGCAAGAATGAGGTGATGAGAGCTTGGGAAAGACGGATGGTGTGAGGCGGGGGACCGTATAAGACAGATGGTGACGTGGGGGACCCAACAGGCAAAGGCTTGAAGACTGGAAAGTGCAGTGTGTGTGTGTGGGGGGGTGGGGGGTGGAAGGTGGAGAAGCCTGGCTGGCAGGGGTAGAGGGCCCAGGTAGACTACAGCAGAGGAAAGAACAGGTAAGATCCAGGGCTTCAGCCCAGATTTGAAGAATCTGGCCATTTTCCAGGAGGGGATATGGAACCATTGACGGTTTCAGAGTAGGTTTCAGACCCATTTGTTGCCTTAGAAAGAGCTCTTGGCCCTTAACCCCATAATTCCACCTCTAGGACGCTGAGGTCATCACCATTAGCACCATCATCATGTTGTCCTCCCCTTTGTAAAGGTAACCGTCACTCCTTGCATGCTGACCATGAGCTTCATTAAGGTGGGCTCATTCCTATTTTAGAGATGTGAAAACTGAGGCTGGGAGAGGGGAAGTGAAGTTGTAGAACGACTTCCGAGGATTCATGCTAGTACTTGGCTGTTACTTGGATTTCAATCTTCCAAGGCCCACCTCTGTGGTTGAACAGAATTTACATAGTGTTTAAGACAGGTACTTTAAGGAGGTAAGTCCATTGATTCAGTGGGTGGGAAAGATGAGTGAAAAATGATTTCCACTCATCCCCCATCCCCACCTCTTAGAGGAAGACCTTGGGATGAGTGAGGCTTGAGCAGAATCCAGGGAAATGGCTCCCCACGCCCTGTGGCTGGGCTGGGTACATCTTGACCAGAGGTTGGAATTCCTGCCATGGGGCACAGAACCTCCCCAAGTCTGCCTATCCAAGTTAGATCAGCTTCTCCCTTGTCCTCTACCCCCAGCTCATACTCAGATCTCTGCTGTCATTTGGCCAGGAAGCCCGGGTGAATGGTTGCTGTCATAGTGAAATATTTCTGTGCTGGCTGGTAAATAGCCACTGTCCCAGCCTTACCCCCACCTGTTCCCAGTCCCTCATTCAGAACACCCCTCTACACACACACACACACACACAC